GTGGAACAGATCAAAGATGACACTGAAAAGGAGTACGTTTCAAAAGACTTTAATTAACGCGTTGTGGAAGAGTACAAATCAATATCAAATGAAAAGAAATATGAAATTTAGTGAATGAAAAAAAGTAGTGTCGCCCAAATCAAAGAAATTAACCATTCAAAACAATTTTTGTAACTACCCTCTAAACTGACTAACAAAAGAAAAATGTGAAAATAAAACCGAAATCTTCGGTGTATGCGACGCCATAAACTAAACTACCCTAAACTAAAAACAAAAATACAAGGGTGGCAAAACACTCCAAACTTAGTCTATCAAAGAGAAAACTAATCTAATCCAAAATCAAAGCAAACCGCAACGTAATTAACAAATAACTAGATAATCAAATTATCACAAGATATGTTCTCGGTTAAGCAGCTCGAAGCACCGGTATGCCATCTTAACTTTGAACTTGACACTTACTAAGACTGAAACTCTAATACGGACGCTTGCCTGCCAGCACCTGCACCATCAATTTGCGTAACACAGTTCTGATTGTGGTGCTTTCCATAGGGACCCTTAACGTCAGTATTGATGTAATGTTGAACGTGACTGACTGAAAGGGAACGTCTCAGTTACGTTATGTAACTGTCCTTCCCTGAAGGAGGGAATGGAGACATTACGTCCCTCAACCCTGAACTGCGCTGAATGCCAGGTTGCTTTCTCGGCTCCTCAGCACAAACCTGAATGAGTGAATGCATGCCGCCAACTTATATAACCGTATGTACGGAGAGTGGCTTGGCATGCAAGTTCCACTCGTCAATAGTCATTGGCCATTTCTTTTAATGCTCAGAGGTGATTGGGGCTCCCAAGTGAGACCCCTAATGTCAGTATCAACGTAACGTCTCCATTCCTTCCTGCAGGGAACGAGGGTTACATAACATAACCAAGACGTTTCTAGTCGTCAAAGATTCCTGAAAGAAAAACAAAATCACGGTTTCTAAAAAAATTTCATGCAACACAGCTGTTTTCATCTGAAAATAATTTTAAAAATTGTACTTAATCATAATCAATTAGCATATTAAAGTTATTTATTTCTGAAGGATCATGTGACACTGAAGTTGTAATAAAACTATTATTTTAAAATTAGTTTTTACTGTATTTTTGATTTAATAAATGCAAAGCTGATTTCATGGGGTCTAATAAAATAACATCGCTGTTGCTGTCTCTGTTTCTGGTTGTTGTTATTGTTGTTTTTACCAAATACACAATTATTTTGGCACGGTAAAACCTGTTTTTAACCTAGAAAATTGCCTAAATCCCAGGTTGTGAGCTGTGCTGACTTTCAGGCACAAAGAGGATAATTATTTCTCTACCTGTGGCTTTGGGTTCATATAACAATAATTCAGCAAGTTAGTGGGAGATTTACTCATACAGACCTCTGCATTCACCTTATCTCAGGTACTGGGCAGTTCTCGCTCTTTCTCACTCAAAGAAACCATATCCCCCATAGAGGACACACTCAGGGGAGAATGTCCAAATAACTCTATAGTGATATGTCATATATCACTGTATTGACTAGGAAGGGCACAGTAAGTATTTCAAATGTGACCCTTCAGCTAATTTCATTTTATCTGTCTGTCCTTTTCTCAGATTGTGGCATTCTGCTCTACGCACCTTTTGCTTGCGGTAATTAGCTGTGAATTAAAGACCTTAATCAATAAGAGAACATGAAAAGTCACACTCAATAAAGGCTTCCATTACTCCTCTGAGCCAGGCTGTCTGGAGCATTCTCTGGCTGTATTTCAAAACCTTGTGAGTTGCCTACCTAGACAGCATTTTGGCCATTTCAAACATTACATTCAGACCAAATGGACTGTCTACCAAGACCTTTTTTGGATGTTCCATTCAAATGATGCGAGTCTAGTGAGTAGCCACAGCGTAGTCACCAGTTTTGGACATCATAATTACATACAATCCTAGTCTACCATGTCAGCAGTTTCATGCATCATATAGAAACGTATGTACATTATATTTAAATGTTAGTGAACTGCCTACCTAGTCAGCATTTTTAGCTGTAAGCATATTTAAATATTTGATTTATTAAACTAAATAAGCACATTTTAGTTAACACACACTTTCAAACATTTGAAATTTGAAGTCAGATTAGTTGCCTAGATGAGTTACAGCATTTTTGCCCATTATAGTTACGCTCATACAAGGGGTGTAAATCAGAGGGTTCGTCACGATACGATACGATATCGATTCTCATACCCAGCGATACGATATTTGTCGATACCTCGAAAAATTCTACGATACGATTTCGATACGATTCGATTCAGGAGTATATCGATCAATTTATCGATATTATGATATTATGTACCTATTTTAAACAACCATCTACATTTCACAACAAAAAAAGGCTTACACTTTTTTTTTAAATAATAAAGAAAAATAAATAATTGGAAAAAAATCAATGTCACACATAAGATCAGTAATCTTATGACATGACAACAGACAATAAAGTATTTCAGGCTTCTGTGCTAAAATGTGCAATGTGTAAAATAGAGTAAATCCTCATTCGGAAAAAAACAAAAAGGAGGTACTCCAGTTGTACAAACAATACATTAATGTAGAAAAATAAATATAAAAAAATAAATTACAAAAATAAAAGCTGTTAACTTATTTTTAAGACTTTTTTTTTTGGCTGATACCATGGGCTCAGTGATAAGAATCTTTTGATAAACATTACAAGCAATAGCAGAAAATAAATACAACAGAACAAAGACACAAATTAAATAAACAGTGATTTACAGGTTTTTCAGGTGGGTCTAAAAGAAATTTTCAGTTACAGAAATTTAATAATTATATGTAAAATAACCCTGCATAGTAATAAACAGTGATTTACAGGTTTTTCAGGTGGGTCTAAAAGAAATTTTAAGTTACAGAAATTTAATAATTATATGTAAAATAACCCTGCATAGTCTTCACTGTATAAATTAAATATAGATTAATCCTTATTAAAGTTACAAAAGTTATTCAGTCAAGAGCAGTGAGAGATTTTGTTTTCTTTGACAGAGGTTTGTTAGTCTGCTTTAACTTTAAGACCGAAAGGACAGATCCAATATACTGATACACACACTTTTTCTTTCTCAACTGTTTATGTTAAGACAGGCCTAACTGACTGTATTTACTAGGATATTCGCCAAGACACGCATGTTGATGTAATCTTATCTGTATTTGTTCATCCAAGTGCAAAAAAAGCGGAAGAGAGCTCAATTCAGTATTTGCATGCTGTCTGTGTGCACGCGGCACTGCGTGCAGAAAACGTCTCACACAGCGCCCGACAGTTCCGTCAACTGTCCCGAGCATCTTTTATGCTCGCCTTGTGCCTTCAGGCAGTCTTATTATCAAGTCCTGACACATGAGTTTGAACGAGAATGCACGCGTTGGCGGTAATGCATAGACTGACATTGAGTGAAAGTGGACAGTGCCAAAATAATGTGCCTATATATACTACATGTATCGATATTTTACGTGTGGCATCAATACATCGTATTGTTAGACATTTGATCGATGCATCAATCCATATCGATGGATCGTTACACCCCTAGCTCAAACATTCGCACAGTTTGAACTTGAGCTGCCTATAGCTTTTTTGAGCATCATAGATGTGTTCAGTTAGGACCTATATTCAGTTTGGACCTAGTAAATTGCTTACCTAGACAGTCATTTTAGACACATTGTAGACACATCAAAAATTTGATTAAAATGTTCTGAACCTAGTGAGCTGCCTTCCTGTACAGTTACTTTTGACAATCATAGTCACACACTGAAAACCCCAATAAGTTGAGTAAACTCATTCCCTCAGTTGAATTGAGTAATGGGGAATCCCAAAATTTTTATATTCTAGTTCACCTTACTTATTGCTCTTGTACACTCTACTTATTTATTTATTTTTTTTATGTTCACTTTATTTATTGTTAATATATTGTACTTAAATAATTAAGTTCACTTAGCATGGTGTTCATTTAATGTGTACTTACATATATAAGTTAACTCAACTTAGAAATTAAAAATTAATTTGAAATTAAATTCTGCAGTCTTAAATAAAACACACTGAACAGTATTTTCACAGTCTTTATTAACCAACATTTTGTTATTTATTTATTTATTTATTTATACATTCATTCATTTTTTTTTTAATTAGTAATGTACATTAGGGCCTTTTGTGTTACATTTTCTGTTATTTAGTTAACTTAATTCTTATTGTATTATTTTATTGTCATGATGTTTTTTTGGCCATGTATGGACAGGCCATTTACAGTCAACTCTGATTCATGCTGTGGCTTTCTATTTTACCATCTTTTATTATTATGGTTGTTAGGTCCATTTTAAAGTAAAAAGCAGTTTTTGATAGTTAAATAGGTAAAATAGTCAAATTTGTGAAAGTTTGTAAAATATACAGGCATCTGTAAGCCATCCCATAATACCCGAAACAGTATAAGTGTATGGTTACAGTAAATTTCTGGCAACCACAGCTTTTTGGGCATGATAAGCATGTTGAAACATGTGAGCCTATAGTGGAGCTTCTCTCTTGACAGCATATTTGAGCATTATAATCTAATAATCTTGTTCTGTGATTCCCAAAAATGCTGTCTAGGTAGGCAGCTCACTAGGTTTGTATACACGGGCCCTCTGTTTCTCTCACTCTTAATACATTGTAGTGTGTTTTCCATCTGACTTTCTCCCTCCATCAATCTCTCACTCTTTCATCCTTTCAGCGGCATACTCTCTCTTTCTTTTTCACTCGTCACTGGATTAGTCAAAGGTCATTTTCCCAGCTGACTGATATTGGCACGATGGAGCGTTCACACCTCAGCGGTCCCGTTCAGTGCCAAAACCCAAATGCCCGCAAAAGTTTCACACTAATGAAGATGAAACGTGGGCCCAGTGCCATGAAGTAGATGTGTGTTGTCACAAGCTAAATGTGTGTATTTGTGTGTGTGTGTTTCCCCCAACAGGCTTGTTAGAGAGAGCCGTCTCCTGCCTGCTATCTTTCAAGTCATAGAGGTAAGTGTGCTTCTGAGCCTTCTGGTTTCCTCACTCTCTGTTTGCTTGATTCATTTATTGCCTTGGGTTTTCTGCTCTGACTTCGGTAAGCAATGGAATTACCAGAAAATGATGAACTTTATGGAAATCAGAAAACACTATATTGGAGAAATTGGCCGTGTTGCCGAAATGCCTCAAAGTCTTTAAAAAAGGAATAGATGGGTAGAATTTGAACAGTTCTGGATGGACCTTCACTGTTTTGGTCATTTTAAAGGCAAAATTCTTTAAAAAATGAACTTTTGTCATTATTCACTGACTCCCATTTCATCCTAAACCTTTACACTGTAAATGTATTTATTTAGTTACTTCCTTACTTATTTGGAAGTATTTTTTCACAGTTCTTTTCCTTATAACAAAGACTATAGAATACCCAAGATGTGTCACTCGTACTGTTGCTTTCGTCAACGAAAATTATGACTAAATATCGTCGTCAGCGAACCTTTATCACGTGACGAAAACGAGATGAGACGCAACGTAAATGCTGGTCATGTGACGATGACTATAATTAAATGTATAATGCAATATTGTTGACGAATAAAAACGAGACTATATGTAAATATATAAAACTAGAAAATGTAATGTGTGAACATGCAAAATATTCCCGTGCGCATGTGAATAGTTTCTCGAGGGCACGAAAAGCTTTCTTGTGTGCATGCAAAAGTCTGTATTTATGTATGCAAGAAAATCAATTAAACCCCCTGAGAACATAAAAATATTTACAGATGACTGTACTATATACCAAATAAAAAGTTGAAAATAATGCTGTATGAACCATTTATGATAAATATGGCCTGAAAATTTACTGAGACTTCGAAATTTGAGTCTGGAAAAGTATGGAATTTTGAAAAGGAAAATGTGTAGGAACCCTGGATTTCATTTTTGGATGACCTAATCCTTTAACAAAACATGGTAAAGTAATTTAAAGGTGTAAAAAAAACCTGGCAATTTAGCGAAATACATGGTGTGTGCAAATGTTTGTGTGTAACAGTCAGACCTTTCCCTCTGAGCATGTTCACATCCCAGTATCCATTGAGTTATTATGTAAATGAGGCAGTGGGGGTCTGACCTATCACAGTGCAATGTGTAATTGGGTTGCAGAGTTAATGGAGTGTGGATGTGAGGCCTTTTTCAACAGCATGTTACATTCTCATTAGAGTGGACCCTACATCGACTGTTAACAGTCATCCTCGAAAAACTCGCAAACACACTTCATACTTATTTCCAGTAGGCCAATGTGAATGGCAAAAAAATATGCTTTAGATTTTAATTTTTTTTTCTTGGAATTTTTGAATCTTTCTGATAAATGGTCATTGTTGAGCTGCCCAGCAGCAATCCAGAGCCAACAGATTTTCAAGAAGTATCCCATAATTGATCCTTTGACGTTCCCATTACCTGAAGTGAAAAATTACCATTGCATTACAACCACTTTTCAACGTTAATGTAAGCCATAGTCCCAGAGTGTCTTATGCACTGTAATTTAATTTTCCAAAGGATATATTTTCCCATGCCAAGCCAACCAAATAAAACTCACAGTCTAAGTATTTGATTATAGGGCATTTTATATACAAAAATTATACAATGATATGATTTGATACAATGATACATGATACAATTATAAGCCAAAAAGAGGACACAACATTTTACAATAAGGTCCCAATAGTTTAAGTCCATGAAATCAAAATTGACATCATTTACTTTGTTAGCGCACATCGATGAATAAATAATCTGTGCAAGTTAATCCACCGGGGGAAAAAAAGGCCATGGTAATTTTCTTCTGCTCTGGAATGGCATTCCTTCTCTGATGATGTCAGTTTGATGGCTTCGGCAAAAATATCTTAACCACTCCCCTTCAATGACTGTATTCATGCTACGGCACAGCCTTTAGTCACTCTAAATGATTTCTACATGCACAGCCATTCAAAGGTTTGAGGTTAGTGAGATTTTCTTTTTAAGAAATACTTTTTTATTCAGCAAAAAATGCATTCAATTGATCAAAACTAACAGTAAAAAACTTTTACGTTGTTATACATTTCAAAGAAAAGGTTTTCTTTTGATCTTTCTGTTCATAAATGAATCTGAAAAATTATCAAGATTTCCACAAAAAAATATCAAGCAGCACCACCGTTTTCAACTGACACGTTTTTGGTGTTTCTTGAACACCAAATTAGCATTTTTTAATGATTTCTGAAGGATCATGTGACACTGGAGTAATGGCTGCTGAAAATTCATTGCCATTACAGACTTAAATGTTAAAATATATTAAAATATAGGGATGTAACAATTCACTCAACTCACGATGCGATATGATTCACGATACTGATTTCACGATACAATTTTCTCCAATTTGTCAGATTTCAGACAAATTCTAAATGAAAAGTTGTCCTTTTATTTTTGCTTGGACAAAATGATGCATATTTCTTTGTGAAATTTAAATGTCAAATAACAAAACTAAATTGAAATTTTAAAACAAAACCCTAAATTAAATAAACAAATAAGACAAAAAAAAATCCCTTCATATTAACAAACAAATGCTTTACCTGTGCTATTTCCATTCAAAATTAGAGGTAACCACAGCACTTTAATCACAATCCAAACAAAGATGCTGAATACATGCAGCATGAAATCTGACAGCAGGTGGCACTTATGGAACAGCAGCAATACAGCGTTT